AGCTTTAAGCAACACCCCAATCCAACCTCATATCATCATTTCTGCCATCTGGGCCTCTGTCAGATCCCAAAATCAATGATAAATCAGTTTTCCTCTGTTGACCTCAGCCCTTAAGTATCTCCCAGAATCTAAATGGGGTCAAATCTTAGTTTTTGGACTCTACTAAAGGAACCGGGCATTCTGGGACAAYGACTAGGAAGACAGAAATGAATGGCTTAGGAACAGGTTCTGTGCTCCAAGGTAACAAAGCAAGGGAGACAGTCCAGAGGGGCAACTGGGTGCCACACCTAGAGAACAAGGACTCTTCCTACTTATGCTCAATTCACGTGGGCTCCCTGGGCTTTCTCCATGGCTGCATGGGGAGAACAAACAGACCTCGCCTCTGAAGAGGCGAGTGGAATGGAGGGAGGGGTGTGTCGGGGTTTTTCTTTTTTTTCTTTTTTGGTACCAGGGATTGAACCCAGGGATGCTTAACCACTGAGCCATGTCCAGTCCCTGACCCTTTTTCAAATTTCATTTACAGACAGGGTCTCACTGAGTTGCTTTAGGGCCCCCACTATGTTGCTGAGGCTGGCTCTGAACTCCTGATCCTCCTGCCTCAGCCTCCAGAATAGCTGGGATTATAGATGTGCATGACCACACCCCGAAAGGGGTGTGTCTTTAAGTGTCTGGCAAGTAGCAGACACCATGGGCCTCAGGAGTAGAGCCTTGGGGACATGTGTTTTTATTGGGAATTAGAGTTACCTGACCAAATGGACACTTGGAAGGAGCCTTGAAGGATGATATAACAATAATGATGTCATTCTAATTATAATACGATAGTCTCTATCATTCCCGTTTTTGTTTAAAGTAATATTTACTGCTTGTTTACCATGTGCTAACACTTTACAGAGCTCACCCCACTCAATCCTCACACTCATTTGACAGGTATGGAAATGGGACTTAGAAAAGTTAAGAAAACTAGATAGCATCAGAATCTGGATCAGAACCCAAGATTGTGCATCCACCAAGGCTGCCACCCTGCTCCACAGGCAGGAGTGAGGGCACGTTCCAGCAGGGCTTCAGATGAGTACCCAGAAAAGGCACCTGGAGAGGTGGCTGTAGCCAGGTTACAGAAGCCTGAGTGCAGTGTCAGCACGTATCCTAATTAACTGCAGGGGAGCGCCCCTKGGAGGTTGGACACAACTGGACCTGTGCTGCAGGATCCGCAGCTAAAATGGACTGGATTCGGCTGAGAGGATGGAAGAGGGCATTTCAAGAGCCCGGTGAGAGACTGCAGCTGCAGAGGTGAGAAGATGCATGACCTGCCTACTGCACCTGCCTCTCAGGTGTGGACGATGATGTATGTGTGAGGAAGGGACAGGCCCACAAGTGTGAGTGCAGAGTGAGCGAGCTGAGGGCCTCTCCTGGGGAGGAAGAGGGCTGTGGGGGCCCTTCTGGGCAGGCGGGGGGTGGAGGGAGGTAAGGGGATCCGACCTGAGCAGGATGACTCTGGTGAATGAGAAGCCATCATTCCACATCTTCACTGGGTCCTGAGATGCCCAGGGGCCTGGCACATCCGTGAAGTCAATGAACATTTGTTGAATGAGTGAATTGAGACCTTGGCCTCTGGTCTCTCAATCCAGGCCTGGCTTTGCCCTTTAGCAGTGTAGAGGTCACCGTCACTCCATCTAGACTCCCCCCACCTTATCTGTGGTTCACTCCAGCAGGTATTCTAAGTCTGGGMGGCAGCATTCCTACAGCCCCAGCCTGATCCTCAGGGGCCCCAGCCTCATTCCTGGGCCTCCTTCTCCCCCRCATATTTTAACAAAAGTGTTTCTGTGTGGCCTCCAAGTTGGCTGCATATTTCCCAGGTCAGAGACTCCCCCACCTCCATTTCAGAGCACAGCAGATTCTGCCAAATGAGTTCCATGGTTGTCTCAGCCCGAGACATCCTGCTTCTCATCAGGGACAGAGAGCCAGCATCATGTCCCTGACCAGGACCTCCTGTAGCAAACTCTCCAGCCCACCAAAATCTCATCCTACAAAGGACTTTACAGACCTACAAACTGATGGCCCTTGGTCTGGTGCAGACCTACCAAATGATGGCCCTGGGTCTGGTCCTGTCCAGAGGACAGCCTCTAAAGACTCTCCCCAATTCCATGTGCATCCTGGCAGAACAGACCAGGCAGACCCTGTCCAGGAGAGGCCAGCTCCCACCACCCAAGAGAGGAAAAACTGGTTTCAGCTCCTGGATTGCCTGCCCACTGGATGAAAAAGGATCTATTTCCAGAGTAGCCAGAGCCCAACCCCCTTTCAGGCACAACCTTGTATTGCAAAGTAATGAGTACAACTTAGTGAGAAAAGAGATCACTTTCAAGATTGTAAAATCCACATAAATTTAGAGGAAGGCTGGCTTGAAAATCATGACTCTAAACTCCCTATTGGCAGATGTAGAAACAGAGGTCTAAAATCTTGGAAGCATTCAGTTGCTTGAGAGCAGTTTAAATCATTTTTTAGATTTCACCAGAAGCCCAGTTTGCATATGAGGACATTTGTGGGATAAATGCATTGGCCCCTGGGAAGCCCAGTTACTATGGAGCAGGGCTAGAACCAGRCCTTCCAGATGGAGGCTCTCTACCTGCAGGGTGCTGTGCTTTCCTGGGGGTTTGCTTCCTCCAGGGCACTGCTGCAGAAGCCCACCCGTGATCTGTCAGACAGTGAGTCAGGAGGACTGGCCTAGGGGCTACACGGCACTGCCTGCCATGCAGATGGCAGCCACTAAGTCCAATGGGAAGTCATGGGGATCTAGGTGGGCTGACTCTCCTAAAGCTGTGGGGAAATCCCAGGGACTAACAAACAGCTCCTTCTTCCCTCTCTTTGCCTCACCCTCCAGCTTCACCTTCCAAGAAAACATACTGGAACAGGCTTCTCTATTGTCCCCTGCCTACTAAAGGACCCTCACTTCTGAAGGATCATTCCAATCTCCAAAAGATTGATGGTAGCTGAGAAAAGAAGGCAAGAGATTCAAGTCAGGTGGTGTGGGATCCAAAATCTTGGCTGAGAAGTCAGAAAGCCRTAGGTCCTAGTGGCCATGTGATCTCTGAGCCTCAGTTTCCCTAACTATGCCCTGAGTGGATGCTCTCTCAAGGCTCCTTCTGGCTCTGAGAAATCAGATTCTGAGGCCATAAACTGTGTCTCTCTCCTTGCCATGTCCCCAGCAGTTAACCCATAGTAGACACTTAAAATAATCCATCAAATGATTGAATGCAATGGGTTCCCCATCAGTCAAGGAAGGAAATCCTTCCTTCAGGCATCTACCATCTGATGACCATAGAAGTGTAAGTGTTGAAAGAGCCCTGGCCGTCTAGGAGACTTTGCAAATCCACCTCCTCTCCTAGATGCACAGATGGGGCTGAAGGAGCCAAGCAGGAAGCAGGAAAATGTTACTGGGGAGGGAGCAGAGAGTGGCCTGCACACCAGCAGGAGCCAGCAAGGACCCTCACTTCCGCTCTCTAGGCTCCTCTCCCTCCTCCGTCTGTGACTTCCCTCTCTTCCTGGCCTCTTCTTCCTTCSGGTCCCCTCCTGCCCTCCAGCATCATAACAGCCTTCCCCTCCCTCACAGAGGCTCCTCCAGCCAGGGAGACGCCTGAGCCTCAGCTTTCTCAGGATTAGTGCAGGGAGAACACAACATGGAGTGATTTAAATTCTGGTCTGTGCTCAGCCTCTAGAGTCTGGCACCTAGAAGAGGGGCCCCTCTTCTGAAGGAACCTAGAAGTGCCTTTCTTCCACCTTCTTCTGTAGARTCCCAGGGAGATGTTAGGGTTTCTCTTCTGGGGTGTCACATCTTCCCCCTCAAACCACCCTGTCTTCTCTTCCTTACCTCAGCCCAGCCTGGGACCTATTTTAAAGAATGAGTGTATGAGTGTATGGGTGTGTGCATGTGTGTATGTGTGCTGGGGAAGCAATGGTGTGTGTTACTGTTGGGATGTGCGTGTTAATACAAGTGGGAAGGTAGGGGGGGGAGTAAGTGGTGTGCATGGAGCGTATCTGGTGTGTATGTGGTGCACACATAGTATGATACAGGTGCATGTAGCCYGAGTATGAGAATGTGAATGGCATGTGTGTTGTGTGAGTGGTGATAGTATGTGTGTAGTGTGGTGTGTATGTACATGTGTAAAGATGTTTGCAATGGGTATTGTGTGTGAGGGGGGTAGGGTGGGTAAGGGGGCATGCCAGTTTGGAGTGGGAGCCATATAACCAGGAGACCCTCTCTACAGAAGCCAAGGATAACCAGTATCTAGGCAACGGTGAGGGGGGGGAGGGGAGGCAATGTGGAGGTGAGGAATGGGCAGGAAAAGGAGGGAGGCTGAGAATTGGAGTTTCCATGGCAACTGCCAGGCAGGTCACGTGCAAAAGGCCAAGTTGCAAAACAGACATACACATCCACACATACACAATATGAGGGCAGCTGGCCCGCGGACTGGGGGTCCTTTCATAGAGGGCCTGGGATGCCCACTGATCCATCTGCAAACCTGGAAATCCGGGCCTAGCCAGGGCACAAAGCCAAGGAAACAAAGGAAGTGGAGAGAGAGGCCACATTGGTGCCAACAAGCTTTCAGCACCCACATCCCCCCAGGTCTTGAGGTTGGCGGGCACCTGGACAGGCCCGGTTCCAATCAGGCTGCTCTGCCACTTGTAAGAGCCTGAGCAGGCAGGAAGACCCAGGCTGCCCGTCCAACTCTACATGAAAGCCCAGGGCGACACAAAGAGGGCGGCTCTGCCAGGGCCAGCCTTGCTGGGGAAAGGTGGGGATGGGGGGGGGGTCTGGGCCCCCTGGAAAAGAAAACAGAATTGCGTAGAACAGAATAAGAAAAAAAGTGATGCAACCATTCTCGTGAATTCCCGCGCCCTGAAACCCCAACACCTTCTTCTCTACCAGCGCAACCTCCCAGCCCACATCCCACCCCTGGGCACCAAACCAGCAAGTTCCATTTTGTATCACTGAGTGTCACACTCACATCCTGCCACACGGCCCGTCCTCATCCCCATGCTCCACGCAAGGGTCCAGGGCTTCCAGTCACAAAGGAAAAGTCCCCCTGAATAGAGGGTGGGAGCAGTTCTGGCCCCCAGCACTGGGCAGCCACGACCCAGCCTCCAGCATCGCCCCACCGCCACAGCCGGCCTCCTCCCAGGGGCCCTGCGTCTTTCGACGCCCACCTCCTTGTTTACCTCCCCGAAGCCCTTTCGGCTGCCCAGGCGGGGACGCGGGGGGGGGGGGACGCACACACCCACGGAAACAAACAAGACCCCGCACCCGCGGCGCTCGGGCTCCGTCCCACCCGCGCCTCTCCCCCCCCCCCCCCCCCCGCAAGCAGGAGCCGACTTCGCCCACTCCCCAGCCGCTCACCTGCACAGCCGCTCCCCTCCAGCAGATCCCGGGAGGACGTGCGGAGTCCCGAGGAGCTGGGAGTGGCGGCTGGGGGCAGGGCGGTGGGCGCGGCCTGCGCTGCTTTCCCGCCTCCCGGCTCCGGAGAGTTGGGGCGGGCGGCGGGGCGCGGCGGGCGCGGGGGTGATGGGCGGGGGCTCGCTCGGCCCGGCTCCCGGGGGCCGCAGTCCGGTGGCTTCTGGGTAGTGTCCACGCGCCGACCCCTCTCCCCGTGGCCGGGGGAGATTCCTTCCCCAGGGCCGTCAAGCTCGGAGAAGCAACAGGAGCGCCGCCGCCGAGGAGGCTCGCCAAGGCCAGGGCGGATTTGCCGTCAGCTGTTGCATTCCGCTTTTCCTCTGGTGAATGTGGGAAGGGAGCCAGACAAACACAATGACAGAGTTGGTGTGTCTCTGAAATAGTAAACTCAGGGGGACAGAGACATAAGAGAGAATAGCCCAGCATCAGACACAGCAACCCACGTTAATTGAGTGCTTTGGCAATTAAGGGGAGCAGGCGCCAACGGCATGAATGACTGCCGCGTAGGCACACAGACCGKCGTGGCTGATAGTCATTTTCAGGTAGGGCCCTGGGAGCGGGGTCCTCATCTCATCTAGAGATTTGCTTCCCAGAACCCCCTTTTTCAAGTTCCCCCAACCCTGAACCTGCCGGGAGGTGATACAAATTACCCCTCCCAACCCCAATCCCAAGACCATCTTTGAATATGAAGATTTGCCTCCTAGCTCTGGAGCCTTACTTGGAACATGACCTTGAGCATGCTCTGCACTAACCTCTGGAGTCCCCGTTTCCTCACATGGGAAAACAGCCATAAGAATACTGAACCCTTGGGGAGTGGGTTAATTTGTACTCCCCATAACCCTGACCCTGCTGTTTCTGCCTTGTCCTCTATACACTGAGGACTTTGTTACAATTGTCCTTTTCCCTTGCTTTAGGTGGGAAAGATGCAACTGCATCACTTTCTAGGCCCACGGCCCACGAACCCAGAGACCCATTCTTTCATATACCCTTGAATTCTGCCTTTTGCAAACCTCTCTATTGTTTTTTGGAGCAGCTGCTGGCCAGCCCACATCAAGCCCAGGTTTCACAAACCTGTTGGGAAAGGAAAGGCCAATGRGTTAGAACTCCAGAGCTGAGCCACCTTTTGGTTCAGCACTTTTCTTACCAGAGAATTCCAAAGTGTTCAGCCAAGTTCCTTCCCAGATCCCCCTGCCTGACACTGCGGACAGCCTAGACTACAGAGGGACAGCAAGAGTTAAAATCTTCACGAGGAATGGAGATGGCTAGACTCTTTTTTTTTTTTTTTTTTTAAGAGAGAGAGTGAGAGAGGAGAGAGAGAGAGAGAGAGAATTTTTAATATTTTATTTTTTAGTTCTCGGCGGACACAACATCTTTGTTGGTATGTGGTGCTGAGGATCGAACCGGGCCGCACGCATGCCAGAGGAGCGCGCTACCGCCTGAGCCACATCCCCAGCCCATGGCTAGACTCTTAAAGAGTGTTTCCATGCAGGTGTTCCAGCCAGGTGTACTGCTGGGAGAACATGGGATACTGCCGTAAGAAACAATATGCAGACTTATCCTTGATGGCAGGGGAGAGGGAGTCCTGTCTTCTTCTAGGGAAAAGAAACACATCTATCCTACCCCCACCTCCCAGAAGGACATGGGCAAGGGTTAAAAGAGGTCCCCAGCTGCTCTATTCTTTCAACACATTTGTGGATGGGAGACTCAATCCTCACTGAGCCCTGGATCAAACTATGGGGATGACACTGGGATAGGAAAGGAAGGGAAGGGAGAGGAAGGGGAGGGGAAGGGAGGGAAGATCCCTTATAGCAAGGGCAAAATAGATGTTTACCAAAGTGGACAATTAGTACATGGTTTGGGCCTTGAAATTTGGAGCTTTTGAGAAGCAGGCTGAAGGACAGGAGGCGTTAAAGGTGAAAGGATCAGGAATTGAARTACCAGATAGGGTTGGGAAATAATTCCCATAGTAGAATAAAACAACATTTGCAAAGGCCCTGAGGCAGGAGGAATATACTGTGACCAGACCCTTCAAAGTAGTAAGGAAACAGGCTGGGGTAGGAAGCAGATGCCAGGCTRTGCAGTTCCTGGTGGTGCCAGCTTTTAACACTGGGACAATGGGAAGCCACTGAGGGCATCAAGAAAATTATTAGGAGAAAGAATTGAGAAGAGACTTTCTCAAGATGCTCCTGGGAGACCCTGCAGTGAAAGTTCAGGAGWCCATGGTAAGAACGCTGCTAACACGAATCTGAGAAGTGGGCTCGATCCTAACTGAGGAACCCTACTTGTCTAGATGCCCAAGGAACAGCGAGAGAGCTGCAGTAAAGCTGCACAGCCATGATGGAAATTGGGTGAGAAGGAACGGAAACCATTCCTGAACACTCTGCGCCCTCCCAGCTKCAGTATGGGAGCCATGGGAAAGACAGCATGGGCTGGGGAGGACAGCACAGCTGCAGAATGGGTGAGGGACTGCCCATGCTTGAAAGCTTGTGCTGAGCTCCAGGACTTGTGGCCCAGCAGCTAACCCTCATCTGGAGAGCACTTGCCCCGGTTCCTTGTACTGTGGCAGAAATAACCCCTCCGCAGTCAGTGCCCAGGTCACGTAGCCTTGGACAGGGAGTGGAGGGCTTGCAGGAGACACTCAAGGGGAGCCATCAGGAGTCTCACCCTTGCTAGCAGGGTAAACACAGGAAGCTATCAGGGCGCGGTTTCATCCTGGGGTGAAAGTTGCATCACGGAAACAGATTCTGTCCACCATCTGCTGCTTTGTGGCCATTCACAGCGCCATGATTGCTGAGGCTGGAATGCATGGTGGCCCCCCAGGCCAGGCAGCTCAGTGCTGAGATGTCACCCCCTACGACAGAGCTGTTTTCTGTTCCTTGGATGGAAGAGCTCTGCTCACTCCACACCACTCCTGAATCCCAGAGCCCTTCCTCCCTCCTGGCCTTTCTTTCTCAAACTCCTCCAACTTCTCCCTCAAGCAGCTGTGTASGGCCCTTTGTCCCTTTACACAGTTTCTGGGCAATGTGATCCACAGGCTTGATGATCTCCCAGCATCCAGCCGGGTCCTTTCACCCCACGCAGGATCTATAATCCTGTGTGTGCCAGGCAGCTTTCCATCACTGGAACACATACCTTGAAGCACATGAAATTATAAACAGAAAAAGGTTATTTGGGCTCAAGGTTTTGGAGGTTTCAGTCCATGGTCTGAAGTTCATTGCTTTGGGCCTTGCAGCACATAATGGGGAGAATGAGGTGGAGGAAAGCTGCTTGCCTCGTGGCAACCAAAAATCAAAAGAGAGGAAGAGGGAGGTCTGGGTTCCTACTGTCCCCTTWGAGGGCACACCCTCAGTGACCCCCAGTACTTCCCACAAGGACCCATCTCTCAAAGCTTCTACCAGCTCCCAACAGTGCCATAGGATGGACTGGGGACACCTTGGCCTTTGAGAGACATACCAGACTAAACCATAGCACCACGCCTGTGGGTGCTCCCCTCCCGGGTCTTCCTTGACTTCATAAATAGCTCTGCCCCAATCCTGTTCCTCCTCTAGAAAAATGCATGCCATCTCCATGCCTCTGCCCCRTGCTTTCTCTTGGCTGCTTGCTCCTCCTTCTCCACTGTTCCTATTGCAGGTCAGACATCCATGCCACCAGCTTCCTGCCGAGGGCTCTGCTTCAACTCCGCCTCTGTCAACTCCTATTTGGTCATTCTGCTCCACACAGTGCGAACATGATTCAAACCGTCTGGTTCCTGTTTCTTGCAAGTTTAAAGTGCAAATTCTGAACATGACATCAGTCTTTAAAACGCAACATGCACCTGCCTTTCCTGCTTCACTTGCCAACCCTATCTGTGCCCTACTTCCCCCTCCGTCACCCTGTGACCCCAGTCCTTGTAATTGCTGTGCCCTGCACAAGAGAACCGCACATCATTATCCAAACGCCCGGCTTGCCTTCCCACTTCCAACCTTTGCTCATATTGTTTTCTCTGCTTGAAACATCCTCTTCCTTCGTGTCTGCTTGAAAAATGCTTCCTAACCTACAGAGGTGAATTCACATTTTACCGTGTTGAAATTAAAGCCACCTTGTCCCTGCTCTCATTAACAGCACTGCATTTCTATAACTATACCAGCACATATCATGACCTGAACTCTCCCATGCTAGATGGTGTTTGCAGCTCGTTAGAACTGGAACCTCTTGATCAATCCTGGCATCTTACTCCATTATAGGCCCAGGGTCTCCTGATCCCTGCACAACTTGTCRAATTTAAGTGAATCGTGGCTCTTGACCTAAAAGTCCCTGCATAATCAGGTTTCTGCCAACCTCTCCACATTCATTTTAGATAACTTCTTCCTGGCTTTCTCTCCAGCCAGAAGCCTCCCAGCTTAACCATTGATCATAACCGAAGGCTGTCAGGGGGACTTCAGAACTGGCTCCCTGAGCACCGTACCATGGGCGTGGGCCATGCCTGTGAGATGTGCTAGCTTTGTTTCACAGGCAGAGGAGAGATGGGTAGTGACTCTCACGGGCTCTGATCATTCCCAAATGAAGGCCTTCTCCTGGGTGGTGAGTCCTGGAGATCTCCCAGGCCAGAAGCCTGCAGAGGAGAACAGGCAACTCTGACAAGGACGGGACCTCTCTGTGAGTAGAGCTGCAGGAACTGGAGACAGGTGCTGCTGGTTCTCCAGCCTGTTCCCTGCTCTTCTTTTCCCCATC